AAGTATCTAGTACGTGTTCTTGTTAAAAGCTTCGAAAAAGGATTTGGTGGAGAATAAATCCAATTAATACACAAATAAGTCTTCCTTATATATATATTGAATCATTATATATATATATTTTTTTGCATCAAATATTACATATTGACATATATACAGTCATCATTGTGCTGTACACACAAAGGCGTGACTACGTAACTATAAATGTCATATGGAAAATAGGAGTGACGAACAATTATAGGATCGTTCACAAACGTCATCTTTACTCGATCATCCCGTTCGATGAGCCAACCGCGTCCTCGTGTCATGACAAGGATTAAATAGTTCAATGGATTGTACCGGAAGACAATTTTAATTAACAATCCAAGCAAGCGCGAGTTACAATTAATTTTTGTGAAGAAAATTTTAATTATTACCATTTTTATTCGAGTAAATAATAATTTTTTTCTGATATACAAGGATATTATGTTAAGGTCTTAAGACGTTAATTAAAATGAGAGAATAATTGAGATGTTTATGAAGTTATTTTATACAGAATTTCGAAATTAAACATAAATTTTCTTCAATAAAGTGAGAAATTTTCAGTTATTTTTAGAAACAAATTATTGAAATGTAAACGAAGACGTCGTTAATCTTTCACGCAACATATAAACAGTTTATTAAAAGGAAACGTATCTTCTTCGTTGCAACAATAAAACAATACTACGATCGCTCGTCCAATTGAAGGCACTTCGCGCGTTTTCCATGTTCTTCAATATTTGACTATAGATATAACAAGAATCTGTAGGATTGAACTGAGCTTGAAAACTTGTGTACGTGTCGTGTATGTATATATATATGTGTGTCCTTAAATTACTATTTCTAAAGGTAACGAGCGCTTTATAGCTTCCTCGGCACACGGCGCCATTTCCGTGGCTAATAATAAAAGTACGTATAACTCGGTAACCTCGGTCAAATCACAATCGTGGTGGTATGATTTATATTTATATGTATATATTATCTATATTCACTCATTCACACACGCGAAACACACACACACACACATTTGTATATATATATATATATATATATTTTTTTTTTTGTATCTATATACCTCATATAAAAATTAAAGATAGTATTTATACAGTTTGTCTTAATACATATCGCGCGCGATTGACTATAATTACAGGATGGTGGTACGAACACTCGTGCGAATCAGATTGACAATTCTATTAGAATTCGACGAATAGCAACGATCGAGATCGTGGTAGAGCCCAAAGATGGCTACAGGCTAGAATTAAATCTCTCTCTCTCTCTCTCTCTCTCGTAACTAAAATAATAAAAATCTAAGCCGGACTTAAATTAATCAAAATAAGATGTTGCGTTGTCGCGATGGCATACAGCTGCGTGATTAGTCTGTCTTTGGTCCACGTATCGCGAAATTTTCTCTTTTACTCGTAAATGTCCGCTTAAAGTCGTCGTTTCTTGAATAGCATTTACTGTCGAGATAGTTTAGGACCGGTTATTCTACCTTTTGATAAATTTTACCTGTGAGATAAATCTGGTAATCCACGCATGTGATTGGCTAATCTTGCTACTTATCCAACAGGTAAAATTGATCAAAAGATGGAACAACTGGCCCTTAGACGTGTTATCGAAATGATTCTTCATGAAATTGTGGCATACTGGAAGTGTACACTTTTTAAAAAATATAAGTGTAGATTTAGCACACCATGGGTGTTGAATGTAATTGTATTGATGTTGATATAAATACCAACGTTGTGTGAATTTAACATAACGGTTTTTGACTTTATAGGACGGAAAAGCCATTGTAATGCTCCGAAATAATGTCATATTT